GAGCCCAGCTTGCTAAGCTCTTGCTCGCAACTGGAGAAACTTGATCGGACTTTGCTATTCTGCCTGCCACAGCTGTTCACTTTCCAGGAAGGGAGTCCAGGGGCTGTGGGCTGGCCTGTGCGGACAGAGGCAGGTGAGAGGATGAGGATGGATGCCTGCTCATCTTACTGAAACAAATGACTTCCAAACCGATGCCAGAGGAGCTGGGAAGCTAAAGGGCACTGCTGATGCCTGGGAAACTGTTAGCTCAAAAAGGTAGAGTAGTGAGCATGGAACTACCAACCCTTGGAGCTAACTACCAAGTCAGCTCCTTTCCTAAGCCAAGGGCCTGATAAAGGTGATGGGCAAGGGCTGGACAGTGGCGAGGATGGGGGTTGGGAAGAGTGCTGGATTTGATAGCAGTGCCTTCAACCTCTGAGTGACCTCTCTGGGCCTTATTCTGTACAACAGGACAGTAAGATATTTAACAACCAGTATGGCATAGGCACCAGCCAATCAGAATGGAGAAGGGCTTTACCGCTGGAGGTCTCAGCTGCACCTGGCCTTAGCCCCTTAGCTGTTGAATAGCAGAGTAAAGGGGAGGACCTGAGGGAAGGGCCAGGGTGCAGGAGTGGGGAGAGGCTTTGGGGAGCTCAGAACATCCACTATTCACCTATCGGTACAGGCTTATTTCAGTATATTAGCAAGCAGTGTGGCCATGCTCCTGCCGGATGCTCGCTCTGCTCTACAATATGAGAAAGGTGGAGTTGATTCTTGTACTTTATGTGCATCAGAATCACTTGGGGGGCTTGCTGAAAACACAGATGCCCAGTCCCCACCCCAAAGCTACTGAATGACAGTAGGAGCCAGGCTAGGCCCACTACGCTCGTGAGACTTGAGTGCCCTGGATCAGCTGATCTCTGAGGATCCAGCTCTAACTTTCAAGAGATTCATGAGGACTCTGGGAGATGAAGTTCAGCACATAGTCTCTAGGGGAACATGCCCAATTCAGATGCAGGTCATGTGAGTGAGGGAAGGAGGCTGTGGGGCCACGGCAAATTGAAGAGTCATGTTCATTTATTTAACTGAGGCAGCCTTGACCCTGACCCAGTCCCACTGGATTGCTGCCACTCAGGAATGCAGGCTTGGTGTGGAGAGACCTTCTAAATTTTCCAGAGAAGTTGAAAGTCAGTGAGCCTGTACTGAGTCAGTCCCTCACCTCACCAAGTCACAGGTGAGGCATTGCTTTGAATTCTTCCTGCTCCCAAAGACAAAGCCCTGTCTTTGTGATGGTGAAGGGCAGAGGAGGTGGGGCTGGCCCCGCAGGAGATAGGAAGGAGACAAGCCCTAAATGAAGATCTCGACGCTGCTTAAGGAGACCTGCTTAAGGAGACCGTTTCAGTAAGGCCCTCAGAGTCTGTCCTCAGCTGGTTGTGCCCCTCCTTCACCTCTCAGACGTCGCCACTCCCCCTCAATCAGAGTCTGCCCTCAGCAGCTTTCCTAGCACTGAGGTGCCAGGATCTGATCACGGGCACCCTTCCTAGGGACTCTGAGTCTTAGCTGACGGGATAGAGCTCTCACAGGATGGAATCTTTGGCTTCAGATGTGAGGTGCTAGGGTTCTACCTGGGATTTTTGGAATGTTCCACAAAGGAGTGGATTCCTCTAAGTATAAGAGAACTTGACTTGATTGCTATATTTAAACCCAATTGCCAAATGCTTCTTTCCCCGCTTGAGACACACTTTCTCCCACTCCTCGGTCTATCTGACTCTTACTCATCCTTTAAGATTCAGCTTAGATGGTGCTCTGACCCCCACGACTAGGCTATCTTGCTCTCCTTTTAGTACCACAGCTCTGGGCATGCCCTTGTTTTTAGACTTTTTCCCCTGGAATTTCAATGACCTGCTTCCTTAAAAACATTCAGGTCTAACATTTGTTAGGTGTTCACTATGTGCCATAGTCACTTTATAATATTATCTCAGTCAATCCTCACAATAGCCCAATGAAGTTGGCACTATTATCATTCCTACTTAAGAAAGCAAGGCTCAGAGAGGTTAAGAAACTTGGCCAATATCACATGGCTAGCAAGTGGTAAATGGGGATTTGAACCCAGTCTGTGTGCAGCAGAGCCTGTATTTGTAACCATTGCACCATACTGTCTCCCCAGCCTGAAGTCAGTGTCCTGAAGTCAAGGATGGTCTCTTGGTTCATACAGCATAGTCCCAAGTTGGGCTTTGAAGTTAGATAGCTTGAGTCTGAATCCTCCCTCTGCCACTGTCTGTGGTTACCCTTCATGCCTCAGTTTCTTTGGCTCTATAATGGGGACAATTTACCTACCTTATAAGGTTATTTAATAATTAATATTAATTATTAAATAAATAAATAATTTATTTAATAATTATTAAATAAATAATTTATTTAATAATTATTAAATATTAAATATGTTAATATTTGACATATTAAAGGTTAACCTTTAATAACCTTATATGGTTATTAAATACATTCCATTAAATTTCCTATAATTTTAACGGAAATTATAGGAAAGGATATATTTATCGTCCTCATTGCAGTGCCCAGCACATGGTAAATGTTTGAAGCATGTTGATGGAATAAATGATTGGAGCTGCCAGTGAGTTCAACTTTTACTTGGAAATAACACCTGCCCCTTTCAAATCCTCAAAGACTCCACAGAGATGAGATTTGGTTTGGGAGGGAGTGAGTTTGATGCTGGGTATGGTTGAAGAGGCTGGATGGAATGGGGGTGGCAAGCCTTTGGAGTTGTTTACAGTTCTCAGAGAGGCTACCATGTAGAGATAGTGGACAATGGGAAGAATATTCTGTTTCATTTGGAAGGCATGGATTGAGTCTCCATTATACCCAAACAACCTGCTTGACGCAGCCATAGCAGTTAAAAATTAACTGGATCCATTGTTACTGAGGCACAGACTAAATATTTGGCTGGCTGGTCATATATCTGCCACTCTGGGTGTAGGGTAGAGCAGACTGCTAACCTCATTGCTAAACTCATTAAGGGTGTTTTTTGGGTAAGGATGAGGCGTAGGTACTCATATTTTGACAAATCATACAATGACACCCTCCCCTTGTGACTTTTTTACATTTCTCCATTGGAATTGTTATATTCAGCTCAATGAGGCATGAAGTTGGGCATGTTGATTTTGTGGAGTAGACATGAGTCAATATCTCACAGAAAGACTAGTTACCATGTTGCCTCTACCAGCCCCAAAGTCCTGACACATGTGCAGTATTCCTTGGCAGTATTATGGCTTTGTTTTTGTTTTATTAAGGTCTGGAAAAGTCTATGGACAATTCATTTTGTCAAGTGTGTGGGTGGGTATGTAAAAGATTCATGTTTTTTTTCCTTTTTTTTCCACTGAGGAAGATTAGCCCTGAGCTAACATCCGTGCCAATCCTCCTCTACTCTATATGTGGTTTGCTGCCACAGCATGGCTGATGAATGGTGTAGGTCTGCACCCGGTATCCCAACCCGCAAACCCAGGCCGCAAAGCAGAATGCACCGAACTTAACCACTATGCCACGGGGCTGGCCCCAAAAGGTACGTGTTTTTAATCCTAGGATCTTTAAGAACTGTCCATGGGAAAGGTCTAACTAGACCTGTCTTTTTTTTTTTTTTAATGGGATCCAGCCTTAGTAGCAAATGGCATTTATGCATTTAAGTGCCCACATGGATGGTCATGTAATAAATGTTAAATCACAACAGTTAAATTTAATGAGAATTAATGGGTCATCTTATAGCATCTCCTCGGCTCTCTGGATGCCCTCTCACCCGTTCACAAGGCTCTGCCTGGCTGGTCCCGCTCACCTCAGGCCCATCTTAGTGGGGTCACCTGGTTTTGCAGACTCCGTTATTCTTTCCCCACCTGTCGGGAATGTCAAGGCCACTCTCCCCTCTTTCCTCTTCTTCCCTGATACTTTCTCCCAATGTTCATTCTCTCTCACTCTCATCACTCCCCCCTCCCTCCTCCTCATTTCCTTCACCCTCCCTCTTCTCCTCTTCCTTTCCCCTTTTCCCCTCCAACCTTCTTCATCCTGTCCCTTTTAGAGCAGCTTTTATCTAGGAAGCGCCCCACCCCAGCCTTGGACTGGCATCTTCTCACCGAGCTTGTTGCATTATCCTGCAACCCGGTGAAACAGCTAGTCTGCCCCAACTGAGAAGGAATCAGAGAAAGTAAAGAATGTTGCAGTGCAAACGGAATATACATCTAAACTCAAACCCCTTACCTAGTTGTTTGTGAGCATGTTGTTTCTTCTTGGGGAAGTCAGACTACAGAGCCAGCATGAATTAATCGTCCGCAGTACTGTCCACAGCTACATGCTTCCTGCTTATCTACTGTGTAGGATTATATGTGTGAGAACAGATTGAGAAGCTTAAACTATGATAACCTTTTGACACCAGGTAGTCAGCTTTCTCTCTGACCTTCTTGTTGGAGCAAACTCAGGAAGCTGACTCCTTTTGGTTGTAGAGGGTTCTCAGAAAGTTCAGAGTATTCATCTCATACCCTTCCCAGAAATTCTCCCTTTGCAGCCCGGATTATGACTCTATGGAGGGAAAAAGATAAGGCAGCTACTAGTGGCCCGTGTACAGGCCGCAGAAGATGGCAGAGGCTTGTTGAGAACATAGTGATGAGGTCAAAGAAGCAATGCCAACATTCTGACCATTGTGACACCCCTGGCTGAGGCCCCTTTTAGGACACCACTGAAATTCTACGCAGAACACAGGGGACGAGAGCCCACACGCTCCATGCTGGGGAACAGGGTGGCAGGATGGTCTCCCACGCCTTTGTCTGAGTAGTGGCCTTGCTGCATCGTATCATTATGTTTGGAAGGCCACCCAATTTATCTTCCCACTCAAGGCAGGAATCCCTGTTCCCACCTTTCCCTTTCCTGGAGGTAAAATGGGCAGAACAAGGACCCGTGCTCAAGTCCCCAAAGAATGGCAGGACGCCCTCAGTGGAGGCAGACTGTATTTAAATGCAATTCACCTCTTTGGGGTCTAGGAAAAGCCACCCGTAGATTCATTTGCTGGGAAACACGGTCTGCGGGGCCGAGGCAGTAGACACTGGGGTCATGGTCTTGCCAAAAGGTGACTTCTTCCGGAGGTCTGTCTGCTGTCCAGAATGGCAGCCGCTTCGGTGGGCGAATAGAATGGTCATCTCTGGGCTCAAGGGGGCTGCTTCAGGCTGGGACCCCTTAGGGGTGGCTGGCTGTTCAGGCTTTCCAGAGGTGGGATGGGAGGTGTAATGTTTGGCGGGAGGAGGGCTGTAATTCTGAAATCTCACGGTTTTGACTTGCTGCAAAAGAAAGGAGAGCAAAGGGACCCGGTGAGGTGGGAGACGTGCTATTTTCCCCAGGGACTTGGTTCATGCTGTTTCTCTACTCTTCTCAACACTCATGTATGTGTTCATTCAGCAAATACCTGCGTCTGCTGTAAGTGTCTACTATGCATCATGCACTCTGTCAGGTGCTGCGAATCCAAGAGCGAACAAAACCGCCCTGACAGACAGACAGACAATTATAACAGTGCTGTGATGGGGGAGGTATAAGAGGCTAAGGGAACACAGAGGAGCATCTAACTGAAGCTGGAATGGCACTAGTCAGGGAAGGCTTCCTGGAGGCAGAGCTATTTAAATTGAGAACTGAAGAACAAGCAGGAATTATCTAGGAGAAATAAGGGTGGGCAACCACATACCTGAGGAGAGGGCCTGAGGCAAGAGGGTATGATCAAGTATGAGAAGTTCACCTTCCCTCTCTCCTCTCTGCCTACCAATAAGGCCTATCTCAGGGCCTACCTCTTCCTTGAGGCCTCCCTGGCTGACTCTATCTAGAGAGTTCCATAATGGCCTTTTAAGTTCCCAGAGTAGTTTGCAAACTGGACACCTGCTGGCTGAATTTAGGCTGCAGAATGTTTGAGAGTTTGATTTAGTTGCCAACATGTAAAAGTTGGGAGATTGCATATGAAAATCAGGATTTCATATGTCTCAAAAAAACCAAAGATCTGGCGCACCAGGGCCTGTGCCCCATTCTGGCAGCAAGTGGCTGGAGCTGATTAGTGGCTCCCCCTTTATGTGGGAGGCACGGTCTCCTGTTTGCATCAGCCCCTCCTCCCCCTCTTGCTTTCACCTCTCCTAGCCTGTTATATATCTGCCTGCTACCAATAGATGTTTGCTTTGGCCAACCCCTATTTTAGGGCTTGATAAAATGTTCTATGGGACGGTTTGGCAATTAATTCTTTTTTCCATGAAATTCGATCCTAGCGTTCCCCACTGAGAATCCAATTTTCCTCGTAATTTTGACCCTCACCATATCTAGCAGAGGTCTGGGCACTTACTAAACGCTTATAGTTGGAGGGCCGTATCTAATAGCTGGGGGTAATGGGCAACTGGGGCCTGGAAAACTTTGAATTATTTGAATACCATAAATCAGAAAAAGAACCCCCAACATTTATATCAGTGAACACGAACTTTTTCCAAATGCCTTTCCCTACAAGCTAATAGCATGGGGGTTAAGAGCATGAGTTTTTGTATCAGATCTGGATTCTACTCTAGACACTCACATGTGTCAGCTGTGTGCCTTTGGGTAACATCTTTTAACTCTCTAGGCCTCCGTTTCCTCATTTTAAAATGACGACGATGATGGTAACAATACCTGCTTCAGAGGGTTATTGTCAGGATTAAACGAGATGGGATATATGAAATACTCAGCACAGCACCTGCCAGGTTGTTAGCATTCAGTAAATGCTTGACAAAGAGGAAGAAACCACACCATCTTTCCATTTGGAGGGGAATGGGTGATGGGTGGTGGTGGTGGTGGTGGCGATTGTGGGGGTGGGAGTGGTGGTGGTGATGGTGTGATAGTGATGGTGTTGGTGGTGGTGGTGGCAGTGGTGGGGGTGGTGGTGGCAGTGGTGGTGGTGGTGACGGTCAATAAACTAAAAGATACCACCTAATTTTCATAATGTCACCTTCTCCATCCCACTATCCCTCCTATCTCGAGGATATTATTGAGAACATAATACTTTTATAAAAACTGTCATATCTTTCAGTGGGAAAAGCCCTGGACTAGAAGTTAATGGATCTGACCTCTGCCACAAAGGTCACAATAACAGCTATGTGTTGGAGTCGATATAACTCAGTGTGACCTTGAGAGATCACTTAAATTCTCCTGTGTCTCAGTTGCCTCTTCTATACCATGAATAATTATGTATTAAGCCCTGTGTAAGCACTTTACACATCTTATCTCATTTAATCTCCACTCCAATCCTATGAGACTGTTACTATTCTTACCGCCATTTTACAGATTAGGCAAAAAAGGAGTCAGAAAGGTGAAGTGTTTTGGCCAAAGTCTCCAGCTAGCAAGCAGCAGAGCTGGAATTCAAATCAAGATTTTGTCTAATGCCAAAGCCATGTTTTTTCCAAGCCACCTCCGGGCCTTGAAAGAGTACGTATAAAATATTCGGGAGGCATAAAGGGGGTTGAGTAACACGTAGGGAGGGTGTGAGTGGTGTGAGGATGTGGAGGGGGGTTGTGTGTGAGGATTCTTTTGAGGCTGAAAATTCGATTCCTTGTCCACTAAAACTGAAATCTCAGGAGCTGGAATACTGTGCAAAGAGTCAAGCCCCCCTAATGTCACCTTGCTCCTACCTTTTCGCTGCCATTTCTTGAGTTTTCTGGTTTCACCAGGATCGATGGTGGGGCAGATGCAGGAGGTTTTGGGAGAGGCTCACTCTTGATGGGGATTTCCTTGCCTTCCATGATGAGGGAACTGGCTGCCGAGTGGATCCTGGTGTCGCTGCCCCTGCTGACGCACGTGAGAGCAGGCTCCCCAGTGGGAGCGGGCTTGGGTCCCATCTCTGCCATCACTGCTGAGGGTGAGGAGGGGACCCCCTGCGGCTGGTAGAATTGGTACTGCTGAGGCTGTACGACCATGGTGGGGCTGCGCCTGAGGGAGCCCACCACAAGGGTGGGGATCCCTGACTGGACGGGTCTCTGCAGGGATCCATCTGCGGAATAATATGACAGAGATATCAGCAAGGGGGGCGGCTGACAGCAGGTCGGGTTGGGGCTGGGTAAGCAGTGTGTCCTGATATCCCAGAATAGTTACGTGCTTTCCCAATTGACTGTGCTCACATTCTCTCAGGGTCTTTCAAAGGTGACCTTATTCTTTTTTTAGTGCTGTTTGCTGATGTTGGCAGCAAATGACTGGCTAGCTGAATGTTGGGGTTGGGGGGGGCCGGTCAGAAGGTATATTACTTCCATTTGCCTTCTCTCTCTCTCTCGCTGTCTCACACACACACACACACACACACACACACACACATACACACTCCTACTCTGTCTCTCCAGGCCCCTAAGACGGAAAGTGAAGAAGACAGACCTAAAGAGACAGCTTCACAGTGAGAAGCAAATATAGAGGCATGCGGACCAAAGAGGAAAAAAAACACAGAGACAGAAAGAAAGATACAGGGCCGGCCCCGTGGCTTAGTGGTTAAGTGTGGGCGCTCCGCTGCTGGTGGCCCGGGTTCGGATCCCGGGCGCGCACTGACACACTGCTTCTCCGGCCACGCTGAGACCGTGTCCCACATACAGCAACTAGAAGGATGTGGAACTATGACATACAACTATCTACTGGGGCTTTGGGGGGAAAACAAATAAATAAATAAAATCTTAAAAAAAAAAAAAAGAAAGATACAGAGAGCAGAAACTGAGAAACACAAGAGAGGGTCAACTGAGAGGGAGGAGAGACAGGAAGGGAGGAGACTCGGACCAGCTGATGGAAGAAAATTCTCACAGAAGCTTCAGGCACATGGTGGTGGGATCGCTTTTAGTCAGGGGGTGCAGCGGGGAAGGGTGAATGGGATTAAGAGAGAGAGTGGGTGTGTCAGGTAGACGTGACACCAGACAGAAGCAAATTTGGAAAGGTGATTCCAGAGTTAGGGCTGTTAAGAGGAGGAGCTTTGCAAAGTCCCATGACCCAGGCTCTGGCGTCAGACTTACACGCAGGGACCCCGGGACAAGTCAGTCACGTCACCCCCTGTGCCTCAGTCCTCTCATTTGTAAACCAGAGCTAATAATAGCCCCTTGTCAGGCTGGTGGGAGGATTACGTTATGATGTGTGCAAAGTGTTAGGATAGCGCCTGGAACATAGTAAATGCCCATGTTTGTTAGCTATCGTTATTTTGGGGTAAAGGATAGCAAACCCTAAAAATGCAAGTCCTGGAGTTTGGTTTTACCCCTTCCCTGAGCTCAGTCTTTTTTTGTTGTTGTTAACTGAGATGGTCCTCCCATATTAGGTAAAGGAACCATTCCTTCCCCTCAAATCTTCTGGAGACAGGAGATCCTCATCCCTTGGGCATGTGTCCTGTAAGTGATCTGGGGAGTAATTAGGAGTTCATCGCACTCTAGGGAGAGCTAGGGAAGACACTCCCTGAGAAGCATTGTGGGCCATTTCTCCCTAAGGGTCTCCAGCGCTTGGAGAGCCACAGTGACGTCCAGTTAGAAATGTCAGTCCTTCGTGACCCGCTGTGGACACATGTGTGAGTCAGTCATTTGTGTCCAGCACAGAGGGCCTGAGCCAAGGCCATGTTCTGCGTCGTGACTCTTCATCAAGCCAGATGTGAACACAAAAAGCAAAATGCTCACTAAACACAGTCAGTGTTCTCAGCTGCTGCAAGCAAGCCAGTCACCATTTACACAAGTCTGACCTTTCAATGTAGACATTTATTTTCCACTGACAGCCCTGTGAGGTGCATGCAGTCAATTCTGCTGTCATTTCTCTTCGCTTTGGGGAGACTGATAGCTTGACTGGCCTCACCTTGGGAAAAGGCAAAGAGAAAGCCTCCGGGATCTGGGAAAGTCAAAGCAGCACCGGGCAGACATGGCCTTAGGCTCCCGGAAACATGTGAAAAATTGATTTTATGCCTTATCTATTTATCTTGTCAGTTCCTGATTTCCAAGAGAGTTAATGCTTTCTGATTACATGTGTATACAATGCAAGCAGTGAAAGCTCCAAGCCAGTCAAGATCTATGCAAAGGTGGGGAGGGAGGGTATGAAAGGAAGTGCGAGCAGTTGCCAATGGGATGCACCTCTCAGCATTCGTAAGTGGTCTACACTGAGTCTAAGTGAGTTAATGCTCTGGATGGACCGAAGATGATGTGCTTAGGTGTAGTAGCAATCATAATACTCATAAAATAGTAATACTATGAAAATAGCTAATATTTCTTAAGAGCTTATTATGTACCAGGCACTGGGCCATCAGTCTCATACGGATTATTTTATTAAATCCATACGATAACACTGATGAGGTCGGAACTATTTTTATTTCCATTTTACAAATGAGAAAACTGAAAATTGAAGAGGTCAGTAATTTGCCCAAGGCTGTTATGACGGGATTGCTTCTTTTGTGCGTGTGTGGGGGCAGAGAAGGTGGAGGAAGGTGCAGGAGGGTGAAGGAGGAGGCAGGGTTGGGTAGAACTGAGAGGCAACAGTAGTGGGACTGGTGGTCCAGCAGGTGATCAGACGAAGGCACTGGGAGGGGGTGGAGCTAAGATATTTGCTTTAATTTTCTCGGGACATTTTCTTGTGTGGCATATTGTCCCACAAGTGACTTTTTTGCACTGACTAATCATACTGCATTTTTATACTTAATCATTTTTTAAAATAACAAGAGAGATTGCAGAGCCCAGTTGAAATCAGGGGACATGGAATAAATCAAATTTTGCTTGGCTTGTTGTCTTCTTCCAGAGCAAAATACACTTGCAGGTGTAATACAGAACCTTGATGTTTTGTAGAGTAATTGGTTTCAAACACTTTTTAGAACCCCTGAAAAGGAAGTCTCACGTAGAAGTTCAATACGTTAGGAGATAAAAGCATGGCTTTTAAGATGAAGGATCTGTATGTATTGCCATGTGTACAATGTGGATGTTATAGAGGTAGAAATAAAAGCAAAGTGCAGAACAGTGCAGTAAGTATGATCACAGGTACATATATAAATGGAAGAGAATTTGGGACTGGAGGTTAGGATATGAAGGAAATTTACTTTTTATTTTTGTACAACTTTTTTACCTTGTGCATATATTAGTTAAGTAACAAAGTGGGAGTCAGGAGCTCTTAACATTGACTCCTTAACCCTCTTTCTTCCTCCTTCCCTCCATGCTTCCCTTTTGGCACCCCTGAGGGGTTCCCTGGAGCAGAGTTTGAGAAGCACTGATCCAGCAAGTGATTTCGTCATTCTGTCTTAATAAGAGCCAGCATCCACTCTGGCTGTGTTCTAATTACACGTTGGCACTCAGAGCTGCTATCATCCCAGCCATTCAATGTCCACGTATGAAGTGACCAAGGGCAATGATCTTAAGTTGGCCTGGCTTCATCCAACAAAACAAAACTTAGTATTTGCGAATTTCAAAGCACCCTTAGCAGAGGCTTGTTTTAAAGCCAAGATCCCTGTTTTTGCAAAAAGTGCTCTGTCTACCCCAGAGTCAGATCCCCCCATCACTTAGCTCTAGACACGTACCTCTCTGCCACCACTTACTCTTTCTCATGCTGCTCCGCCCTTTCCGAAGAGAGCCCTGTCCTGCAGTCCCCGGGCTGGCCGTGCTCCTCACGGGGTTGACTATGGCGGTGGGCACAAAGACGGACTTGAAGGGGCGGCTTTGTCGGGGATCACCTTCCACAATGCTACCTTGGGAGGACACAGAGGAGGTGGATAACGTCCATGTGGTGTAGAGACCAGGGCTCCGGGAATCTGGAAAACTAGATGTCTTTCTAGTTGTGGAAAATTTTTTAAAAGAGAAGAAAGAGAGAATGTTCAGTCAAGAGTCTTATTTTAAAAAATTATCAGCTCCCAACCATATAACAAATGTGGCTGTTCTCACCCTCTTCCTACCCATATATACTCTCCTCATCAACCACACAGGACTGACCAAGGACGCCTCACCTCCTACACAGTGATAACCGTGTGAGTGTGCTGAGGGCAGGGGAGGCTCTCACACCGAGGCCCTGGTGGAACTAGAAGACTTGAGTTTTGTCATCTTTCCCTCCAGCTCTGAGCACTCCTCACCTACCTCCCTTCAGCCCTTGAGTTCAGATCACAAAATCTTGTACGTTTTCACTTCGCTTTTCAGTGGTGATTTCTTGTTCACTCAGTGACTTTTCTACTCGATTCTAAACTCTTTGAAGGCAGAGATTTTATAGGACTTATTTTATATCCTCTGTATTCTGCCTATATTATTAATACATGTTTGTTGAATGGCTACTATGATGCTTTCAGCATCATATGATGCCAGTCATTTTGGCTAACACATATTGAGCACTTACTGTATGTCGGGCATTGGCCAAGGGCTTTGCCCACCTTATCTTATGGGTTCTTCATACAGCCCTCTGAGGTAGGTACTATTAGTGCCACTATTTTATAGATTAAAAAAATAGAGATTTACAGTTACTTGCCCAAGCAACTACTAGACCTGAGATTTGAACCCAGGTCCAGGCTGGCCCTCTGCTCTACCACTGAGCTACACCACCTGTGCTCTTACCACTGGGCTACACTGCATTCTGGCTAGTTAGAGCATTCATCATTTGGTAGCAGGGAAAACCCTGCATCCTGCTTGAAAGAAACGAACTAAAGCAGCTAGTAGGCCCTATACCTCCCTCCATAAGACCCTAATTCTTCAGCCTGTGGCTCTGATTTTTAAGAACAGTATTAAAGTTTTGTAAAACAATAATCCCTTGTCCATTGTTTCCAGCCTATAGCTCTCTGAATCCCATGGGGATTGGCAGTCATTTTACATGCCCTTCTTGCCCTTTTACGAATCTGACCCCAACATCACAGCCCCTACTGAACAGACCATCAACCACCTTGTCACTCTGTTGATTAAGTAACTTCTGCTAATTCCCTGGGAATAACCAACTCAACCAAGGCCCTAGCACAGAGATGCTCTTCATTGTGGTTTCCTTTCCATCAATGCCTCCAGGTTTCTCTTTAGGTAATTTCCCCTTATTTCTCTGTTTTTCTCCTCCTTTTTCTTAAAAAAGTGATATGCAATTTAATAGCGAGCCAGCCAGTGTTATACAAAGATGGCTAAGGCATCATTTAATGTGGTTAACTCTGCCCAAGGAGCATATGCAGCCAAACGCTCTAGGAACTGATGCTTGCAGCAAGGGGACTTCTATCCATAGCCATCGACCTGCCTCTTGTCCTGAGATGCAGTCAGTGAAGGGGAGTGGCTGTCCACCAGTAAAAGCTCAGACTCCATTCTGGAGATGAGGGCTGGGCCGTGGAGAGAAATCCCCAGCACTGGCTTCCATGTAGAGTCTGCGTCTGCTTGTCTTTTGAACAGACGCCTCAAGGTGTTGGATGCTGCAAAATGGACTGACAACTAGAAAGACAGATTCCAAAATTGTTTCCAGAAGCAGGAGAAGCAGCAAGGACAGAATATACTTAATTAGGCCCAAGCCAGCCTTATTCCACCAGTCCCTTCTTTGAACAACTGTTTACAGACCAAGGTGTGACCCCATTTTTCTGAGCCCAGCACTAGGCCAGATTCTAGAAACTGCTAAATCCCAAGGCCCCCAACCAACACTGAGGTCCTCTGTCTTTTGGCAAAAAGCTCAGCACTTACCTAGCACTTTCTTCTAACTCAAAGCACTTTGCTAACGTATATTAATTAATCCCCATGACACCCCAGACCTGCAGACAATACGACCCTTGTTTTCCAGATAGAGAGACTGAAAGACAGTCCAGGTTTAAGTGGGAGGAGTGCATGTTGCCTCTGATTTGCTCCATTGTGCTGCTGTGAGTGTGCATGTCCCTGTGTCCCCTTTTCTATCTCTGCTATGAGCCTGTAAGAACTTGCCCAATATTTGAATGGGGCATTATAAACAGCGGCTCTACCGTGCTCATCACCGACAGCAGCCTCCTGGTAAGGCGAAAGCTTGGACCTTGACAATCTTTACATAGTTCTGTGTAGAAAGTTAAAGGAAAATGAGTGGTGGCCTATGTGTGGTTTTTCTCCATCCTTAAGGCACCAGGAGAACATACGTGTCTGGTGAAGGCTGCAAGAAAGAGAAATATCCTGGCTAACTGGGCAGGAGGGAATTTATTGGGAGGACAGGAGGGGAGGAAAGGGCTTGGAAACAGGATCCAAGGGAGGCTGCAGAGCTTGGCAGCAGGAATCTGAGGTGGGAAGAGTCTGATCAGATGCTGCTACTTGTGTTCTTGCCATGAACGGTTTTCAACTTCACCTACATTCTTTCTTCCCTTGTTCAAATTTCCAGGTCCCAAGAGGGAGCGTCAGATTGGCTACGCCGGTCCCTTAGCTGTGGTGATGGGTTGAGGAGGAGTTGGTTTCTTCAGCCTATGAAAAGGGAGGAAACTTCTGCCTCCCACCAAGACTAGACATGAAGGAGGAGACCCAAAGGGACGTTGGTGCGATTAAGAAGGGGTGTGTACAAAACCATGACAAATGTACTGTACAACCTGAGCCAGTGGATGCCTCCAGGATCTGGGGACATATGCCATGGTGGCAGGGAGTTACTTGGGGTCAGCGCAGCTGGGCAGGTTGGCATCACCATCTAGCACAGAGGGCTGGAGCTCTGGACAGCACAGCAGCTTCTTCCTCTCTCAGGAATTAAAAGCCTCACTTGCTGAATCTTAAGTTGAAACTCTGGCATTTTGGTCAACTCTGATCTATAGTTAGTCCCAAAACTCTGGCTGGGGATGACGCCAATAAGAGCACGGGTTCAAATGCTCTGGGGGCACGTCACACCTTCGAGCCCTGGCTGTTTTATGAAAGGCTGCACTGAACACCAGAGGGGCTGGTGGCAGAGCAGAGCCACCACTGCAAACAGAAAACAAAGACGGGAGGAGGGAGACCTCACACACACAGACCAAGAGCAGAAAGGGGCCTTGCACACGTGGGCCAACCCACCCAGTTCTAACACATAACCTGCTAAAAGTAGTAGAAACTCAGCTGACAAGGGACGGCATCATTCAGCCCTGAGAGGCGGGAGAAGCCAGATTCCCCGCTGTAGAAGTGGTGGTTAAGAAGAAGGGTGAGCTGCCCCCTGAGAGACAAACTGGGCATATGTCATCCACGTCCAAGATTAGTGAGGACGGGAACTTTCTTTGCATCAGGGAGGCCATCAAGGGAAACACATATACACAGAAAGCATTGATCCTCTGTCACTTAATAGCTCTCAGGGGAATAGATTCTGACAGGGATTAGCTCTTCTTGGAAATGCTGGTACCCTAGAAGCAAAAACACCCATCAGCATAAGTAGCACCTCAGTACATGCATATGTTCAGATTTCTATGAGCTAGGGATGGGGGATGGACTCAATGGCAATCTGTAGTGCTGAAACTCCATCCATTGTCTGACGTGCAGCCATCTCAGAGCGGGTGAGTCTAGATGCTCATGACTTGCCCAAGAACACAACAAATCTACCTAGGAGAAAAGCCAAGAAGGAGAGAAAGGGAAGCTGGAGCCTTGAAATACACTGGAATGGAATCCTACATGCATTCTAGTTCGAGTGACCATATGTCCTGATTTTCCTAAGAGAGTCTCAGTTTACACATACACTCCTGGTGTATTAAGAATATCCCTCTTTTATCTCAAAAGTTTCCTAGTTTGTTTGTTTGTTTGTTTTTTTTGTGAGAAAGATCAGCACTGAGCTAACATCCGTGCTAATCCTCCTCTTTTTGCTGAGGAAGACCAGCTCTGAGCTAACATCTATTGCCAATCCTCCTCCTTTCTTTTCCCCAAAGCCCCAGTAGATAGTTGTATGTCATAGTTGCACATCCTTCTAGTTGCTGTATGTAGGACTCGGCCTCAGCATGGCCGGAGAAGCGGTGCGTCGGTGCACGCCTGGGATCCGAACCCGGGCCGCCAGTAGCGGAGTGCGCACACTTAACGGCTAAGCCACGGGGCCGGCCCAAAAGTGTCCTAGTTTGGATGACAAATTATATGGTCACTCCTATTCTAATGGTTCTTTCCTGGCATAACCAGGACTTTGGGCTAAGGCCTGATGCATAAGCAAATGCCCCAGTAGTAGGCATGGGCCCTGGAGAATTCCTGTTAGATCCCATGGAAGAAACTGTTCATAAATCAGGTAGCTGTCCTTGCTCTTCATTGTCACTTCTAGACCATTCTCCCAGACCCTCCTAAATACTTCCCAGCTTTGACTCATGTTGTCAGACTCTACCACCCCCCACTGCACTTGTTGCAGTCATCATTTGCCCTCTAGATCTCTCCCCTCATTCCTTGAAGATTTTAGCTCCTGGCTCACTGTCATTCTTTTCAATACAACTGACCCTGCCACGATGATCTCATCAAGTCTTAGGGCTTTAAATACCATCTCAAGCCTGGACCTCTTTCCTAAATGCTAGACTTGCATACTCAACTGTTTACCAGCATCTTCACTAGGATTACTAATAGGGATCTGAGACTTAATCTGCTGCAAACTAAGCTCTTGCTTCCTCCTCCACACCTCAAAACCTGTTCCTCTTTGGTTTTTATCTCCACCTCAGTAAAAGGCAACTCCATGTTCCGGTTGCTCAGGGCAAAAAACATGGACTCATTTTGAATCCTCTCTTCTTTCACATCCATATTTGATCTGTCAGAAAATCCTATTGTTTCTACCTTCAGAGTATATCCAGAATCTAACCACTTCTCCCTACCTCCACAGCTAACACCTGGTTCAGTTCACCATCACCTCTGCCCTGGATTATTACCATATCCTCTTAACTAGTCTCTCTACTTCCACCTTTTCCTCTCTACGGTTTGTTCTCAACCCAACAACTAGAGGGATTCTGGTTAGAACATAAGTTAGATCATGTCACTCTTCTGCTCAAAACCCTGCAACAGGGTTAAAGCCAAATTCCTCATTATGACCTAGAAATTTCTATAAGATCTGGCCCCCTGTTACCATTCTGACCTCATCTCCTACTAGCCTTCCCCTCACTTGCTCTAATCCCGTCCTATTGGCCTTCATGTCAGATATACTCCTACCTCAGGGCCTTTATACTTGCTGTTCCTTTGGCCTGGAATACACTTCCCTCAGAGATTCACGTGGCTCAGCCTCCTCATTTCCTTCATTCCTCCTTCTCACTGCTCAGTAAGGCTATCCCTGACCAACCTTTTAAAATTTTAATCACTCCCACACAAACTGTCTCCCCCTTTCCTGATTTATTTTTTCTTCTTAGCCCCTATCATTAACACACCATATATATTACTTATATATCTTATGTATTGTCTGTCCCACTGTGTAAGCTCCTGTTGGCAGGCATTTTGTGATTTTGTTCACTGGTATTTTTCCAGTGGCTGGAAAGGTACCTGACACATAGTGAGTGCTCAATTAATATTCGTTGAATAAATGAATGAAAGAATCAGTTGTAGACACTCTTAGATTGCCTTTGGAGATTTTGCAACTTTCTAACAAAGCCCAAGAACCTTCCATTGAAAGGAATAACTATGATCTTCTACTCCAACTTTCTGTCATGTGAAGAAATCTTTTTCTACAAACCTGGATCTATGGGAACCCAGACTTTGCCTGTATCCTTTCTAGAAAGGGGGTCCACCACCTCACCACTCAGCCTAATTGGAAAAATCTATGGGTTAGAAAGTGCAGTCTTCTATTGAACCAAAACCTTCTAAGTTGTATCCACTGGTTCATTGCCCTTCATGGAACAAATCTACTTCCTGGTCTACACAGTCTATCATGGTCCCTCTGAACCTTGTTCTACAGCTTAAACAACCTTAGTTTCTTTTTTTTTTTTTTTAATTATTTTATTGAGGTTGTATTGGTTTATAACATTGTATAATTTCAGGCGTACATTATTATATATCAGTTTCTGTATAGATTGTATTGTGCTCACCACCAATAGTCTAGGTTTTATCTATCACTATACACATGTGCCCCTTTACCTCTTTTGCCCACCCCTACCCTCTTCCCCTCTGGTAATAACTAATCTGTTCTCCTTATCCATGTAACAACCCTAGTTTCTTTATTGTTTTCTCCCGTAATATAGTTTTCTGTCTCACCATCCTTGCTGCCCTCCTCCGGACATAGTGCCCACCTACATGAAGGCCCTCCAAACTGGATATATGACTCCAGGTCTGACCTAGAGAGTACAATGGGATTATCACTTTCCTTGGAGTTATGACTCTCTGGCATGTCATAAAGACAGTATCTGATGTGGGCTGATGGTCTCACCACCTTGTGACAGGCTTTGGCTGGGCTGACACAGGGTGGAGTAGGAGGAGTCATGGATAGTTTTGGGGTCTGTGTAGATTTGTGGTCATGGTATGAGGTGGCTAGACAAACTGTGGGCAGGTGAAATTGATAGGTATGCCACAGAATGAAAAAATCTGGGAAAAGCTCTTGGGGATGAAGACCTTCAGGGTAACTGGCAGGTATGGACAGGTAGTGGTCTGAGTTCATGGAAACTCCGTCTAATGGCCTGGCTTCCTGGAAGTTTCCTGACAAGCTCTGGGAAGACATCCGATCATCACATTTTCCCATTTGCCACTAGGTGGAGTATCGAGGTGCAGGATGTGAAGTGGGATTTGGGGGGTTTCTATAGTAGAAAACCTGAAATCTAGTTCTTGAGCAAGTTGCTTAACTCTGCATATCTGTTTCCTCATCTGTGAAATAATATCTACCTTACAGGATTCTTGGGCATGGCCAATGAGTTAAAAGGTGCGAAAGGGCTTGTAAAATGTGAAGAGCTATAAAAAAAATAACCATTTTTGCTATCTTTTTTAAAAGTGTTAGGAGGGTGCTAGGGCAAAAGCTGTTTCTTGGCCCATACCCTGAAAGCGCATTGAGTCCTTCAGCAGTTCAGCCCACAGATGGCCCCGCCTAGAGGACCTGACCTCCCAATGCCTGAGATTGCAGAGGACGCACCTGAAAACGGGGATGACGTAGTTGTTGGGAAAGATGCCGACTCGTCCAGTGACCAAGGAGACGCCCCTGAGCCAGCCATCCTGGCACTTCCCCAGGACCCTGACGCCTTCTCCCTTCTGTAGGTCCAGCTCGTCGGGTCCATGGGCTGAGTAGGAGTGCAGGGCTACAAACCTGGGGAGACACAGAGAACTGGTGAAGGAAGAAGGCGAGCTGCTAGTGCAGGGCATGGAACTAGCAGAGAGCGAAGGGAGACAGGACCTTAGAGCCCATCAGCTGAGTGGCTGATTAAAAAAGTTTAAAAACTTTTGAAAAATGGAAACCTCAATATGTAAGGCACACAAAAGTGCTAGAACCTGGTTGAAGCAGCAGTCGAGGGGCCCAGATCCCTGCCCTGTCCATCTCCCCACTCTTCCATAGAGTACCACACAGCTGCAAATCGCCAGTTTAGGCCACATTGGCACTTTGACAATGGGAAACTGGCCTAGAGTAGAGAAAGGAGTTGGTGACCTGGAATTAGTGGCAGACCTGGTCTCAAACCCAGAAGTAATGGCTCTACCTAGGATGCTCTTTCACACTGCTTAGAGTGTCACCCAAGAAAGTGGTCTCAGCCACAAGGTTCAGGGAAATGAGAGGTCAGCACAGAAGCCCCTCTGATCTACTCCCTCTCCTGAAAGTAGCACCATGTTTGACCCCCAGGAATGGCCCGAGAAGCTAGCTTAATGCGGGAGGGAAATAGACATGGGGAAGTGGTCCACTGGGTTGATGGGGTTGATTTTAGTTTTTTGGCACACAATGGAATACTGGCTGCATGGTAGGATGGAGGGGAATGGGCTTAATATGGAATAATGTCCTTGGGTTAGAGCAGTGACTTTCCAGTCTGAAGTCCACACAGGAGTCAGGCAGGTAGCATCCAGGGATGAGTCAGGGGGTGAAGACACTAGGGAATAGGAGGCTGTGGACGTGAGAATTCCTGCCTAAAGGCATTAAAAAATAACCCACTTTGGCTTGCCAGATTCAGGGGTTACCAGTATATGGCCTTCAGGCTAGACCTTAGGAAGTCCTAGAAGGACTAGAAGTCTAGTCTAGAAGTCTAGAAGACTCTAAGGACTATGAGACACTGGAATGTTTTATCAAAGGGGCTAAGGGAGTGTTCTCATCTGCAAGTTTTTTTTTCCCCCTCTGAAACGCTATATTTATTTTTTGCTGATTACTAAAGCAACATCTATTTATGACCCAATATTTTGAATCTAACGGAAGACAATAGAAATTTCTCAATACCCAATCTCCCAGCAATGTTTTGGTATATAATCTTCCAGTCTTTTTCTACTTTTGTAAAATAATCTGCTAGGACGATGTAGTTTGCTAGTTTGTGTTTTTTGCCATTATTTCCTTTGGAGGTTGTAAAGGAAGGGGAGCTGTTGTCTCTCTGGACGGGATGGTTTGGGAGTGGGGATGCTCTACGGCAGAGGGATGGCAAAGATGACCCCTCTGTGCCAGGACCGGGAGTGGAGGGCTAAGCTTTTTACTCACATGTTAGCTGAGAGGTGTTGCTGGGAGCCGGGCAGACTGACGATGGCTGTGGAGTGTCCTGGAGAGGCAGGTGCAGAGGGATAAGTGCTGACCTACGCAGACAGAAAAGACAGCCAAGCAGACAGTGAACGCCAGAAGCCAGGCCCACAGCAGAGCTGCTACCGAAAGGCCTGACGCAGCTGAAAACCAAGAACCGTGCCCAGTGCCACCCGTTGTGCATCTTCTCTGTGGTTTGTGACTGTGAGCAGAGTGGGGCGGGGATGGATTGGTTTATGGCTTGTCGGGGTGGCATGCCAGGGCTGCATTCCAAAAGATTGCTCAGTTACGACAGAGGATGAAGACCCATCCATTTACAGTCAACAGGGCACTGCCAGGCTTGTTGGTCTGTGCCCCCCAGACCCTCCTCCTCATCTCCCAGTCCACTCATCTCCCTATATGAAAACCTACTCTTGGGAAGTGATATGACGGCTAATATTGATTGAGAACTTAACACTTGCCAGGCAGTTTTAAGTGATTTACAAGTTTCAGCTAATTTAATCTTTATTACAGTTACTATTATCATCCTCATGTTTGAATGAGAAACTGAGGGAAAGAAAGGTCACCGAACTATTATGAAACAAAACTTAAAACTGAGTAGTCTAGGTCATGAGCCCACACTCTTATTAATGCTAGTACTAACACACACACACACACACGTTTATCCAGTGACTTATGGAAGGTGAATCTGAATCCTGTTCACTTTTCAGGATGAAAGAGACAGCAACAATGCTAAATGCTCCTGCAAACTGCCTACTATCCTGGGACCTTGCCTTTTACCTAACATATTACCTTGCTTATTTCCCTCTTGGCACGAATCACAGACTGTGATTGTTTCCTTGTTCATTTACTGACCATCCCCTCACTAGTAAGTTCCATGAGGGCAGGGACTATGTCTTGTTCATCATTGTATTTCTTACGTGCTCAATATGTACTTGTAGCTTAAAGAATAGATGAATGAATAAAAAGGTCTTCCTACCCAGGGCACCAAGGACTAATGAAACCTCAACCATTTCCATGCCATCCAGAATGAATACATTTAATCTGTCTTCACTTATTCACCCATAAGTGATGGTAACTATATATGTGTACCTTTTTAGGACTATGCTTTTGTGGGTACAACTATTGTTTGCGTATGTGTGTTTGGGCAGGTGTGAATACATTACTGAGTGCATATGTCTCTGGTTCTGAGTGCAAATGTGTATGTTTGTTCAGAACCCACAACAATTGTATGTATGTATATGATGGCATTGGTCTATTATATGTCTGATTATGTTCACACATGTGGGTCTGTGGATTGATATGCACATATGCTATGTGTGATTGTATGAGGTTGTGATTGTAAATGTCTATGTGGGATTCTGTGTGTATGTCTGTGAACTCTAGAGGTGTATGCAGGTATGCATGACTATACAGTTTTGTGTGTGTGTCTGTGTTGATGATTGTCTAGAAATATATGTGTGGTTGTGTATGTATGTATGACATTTTGAGAATCCAGTCTGGTTACAGGATCAGAAAACCATTCCAATCAGTTAATAACAAGTATTGGCAAGAATGTAGAGAAATAGAAACTCTCATATAGTGCTGGTGGGAATGTAAAATGGTGTAGCCCCTTTGGAAAATAGTCTGGCATTTCCTCAAATGATTAAACATAAAATTACCATATGACCTAGTAAGTCCACTTCTAGAACCCAAGAGAAATGAAAACCTATGTCCACACAACTTGTACATTAATGTTTATAGCAGCATTATTCATAATAGCCAAAAGGTGAAAATAATCCAAATGTCCATCAACTGATGAATGGATAAACAAAATATAGTATATCCATACAATGGAATATTATTCAGCCATAAAAGGAATGATGTATTGATACCTGCTAGAACATGGATAAACCTTGAAAACATTATGCTAAGCGAAAGAAGCCAGATACAAAAGACCATATTACATAATCATATGAAATGTCCAGAATAGGCAAATCTATAGACATAGAAAGTAGATTAGTAGTTTCAGGGGCTGGGGATATAAGGGGATATGGGGGTAATAGTTAAAGAGTACAGGGTTTCTTTTTGAGGTGAGGAAATGTTATAAAATTGTGGTGGTAGTGGTTGCACATTCTGAATTGTACACCTTAAATGGGTGAATTGTATGCCATGTGAATTATACGTCAATAAGCTCTTAAAAAAAACATTCCATGGTCACCCATCCAAGGATCTCTAACATTGCATAAAGTGTTCTGAGCTTTGCAAGCAAATATTGTCAACCGATTCCCTTAAACAGACATGAAGAGTTGCTGGCTTTGGGCTCCTTACCTGTGACTGTGCAAGATAAATCCCTGCTGGGCTTGGGAGATGTGTCAAGGGAGAGCCTTGTTATGTGAACAACTAATCTTATGTTTGTGGAGACTGTTGGACCACTGATTAAGCAGGGTGAACTTCACTTAACACTCATGACTTTCCAATGTTATGTTTGAGTAAAAAGCCCTTCTATCCATAAACATTATTTAGGGAGGAGGAAGATGCCAGAATGCAAAGCCATCCCCTCATTACACCAAGCTCTGTCTTTTTACTTCCCTAGGTCTTCATTGGGAGAGGAGGGCTTTCCCCCTATTTGGAACACTGAACCTGGCCAGGACTGAAATCAGTGGGCGTGTGATGGAGTTCTTTCTAATATGGGATGGGAAGGGAGGCCAGATTCTCAGGTTTTGAGGTGTCCTGGAGGAGAAGAGAGAACACAAGTGGAGAAGGAGGAAAGAGGCAAAGGAGCAGGAGGGAGAGAGAGGGAGATAGTGGACAACTCTGCGAGTGGGGGAGAGAGTCAGAAACTGGAACAGAGACACAATGGGAGAAAGAGACAGAGCCAGAGGGATAGAGGAAGGAAGGAAAAAGAAGAAGGAGAATAAAAAAAAGATTGGAAAAACTCTTACAACCCATTTAGAAGAAGACAAACAACCCAATAAAAAATGGGCAAAAGATACCACAAAAGAAGATATAGTGAGTGACCAACAAGCACATGAAAACATGCTCAACATCAACAGTTATCAGGAAAATGCAAATTAAAACCACCACGGGATACCACTGCACACCTGTGAGAATGGCTAAAATTAAAAAGACTGACCATATCAAGTGTTGGTGAGAATGTAGAGCAACTAGAACTGTAATATACTGCGGAGGGGAATGTGATATGATGCCACCACATGGGAAAACAAGTTGGCCATTTTTTAGAAAGTTAAATATACACTCACCACGCTACCCAGCAATCCTACTCACAAGTATTTACCAAAGAGAAACGAAAACATACGTCCATATAAGGACTTGTACATAAATGTTCATAGCAGCTTTATTAATTTTAGCCAAAAACTGCAAACAACCCAGATGTCAATCAACTGGTGAAGGAATAAACAAATTGTGGAATTACCACAAGGGAAAACTCCTCAGCAATACATGCAATGACATGGATGAATCTTAACATCATCCTAAATAAAAAAAGCAGGACACACAAGACTACATATTCTGTTGTGCCATTTGTATGACATTTAAAAAAAAAAAAGAGCCAAAACTATAGTGAGAGAAAATGGATTAAAGATTGCCAAGAGCCAGAGGTGGGGAGAGAGGATTGATTGCAAAGGGGCACACGAAAACTTTTTGGGGTGATAGAAATGTTCTATATCTTGATTTTGGCAGTCATTACACACCTTTATACATTTGCCAAAAGTCATTAAACTGTATACTTAAAATGGTTGAACTATAGTTCAATAAAACTGTCAAAAATGTGAATATATTATCTAGTTGGCAGGAAACATCCAAATGGCCTTAGCGTGACCCAGCCCAAGCTCTGGAATTGGTCAGGGAAGGGGATAGAGATGGCTCAGCTTAATAGTGGGCAGCAAGCAAGTGATCCTCACGGTAGGGGGCCACCTGAATAGGAGAGAAATCAAGAGTTGTAACCTATGGATCAGGCAGAGGTTCAATAAATAAGGTAAAACCAAAAATGAATGAAGGGATGAATGACTGGAGTTATAAGAAAAGAGAGCAAGATAGATAAAGGCAGAGAAGAGAGAAACTAGCAGGCAAGAAGGTCAGAGAGGACAAGACAATGAAGGCCCCACCCAGTAAATGAAGACAACTGGGTAGATGGCCAACTTCTAAGGAGACAAGTCTGTTCCTGTCACTGGGATCGAAGACCAGCCTTTCTGAGCGAAGGGGCCTGGCAGGTGGTTCCCTGGGGTCAATTGTGAACTCAGATCCCCATCCACAAGGGGTTTGTAAGGCCACTGTGAGGTCCTCCAGCTACTGGTCCTTCCTGGCATAGGGTTTGGACCTGAGCAGGATCAGAGAGAGGGTAGTTTTTGAGGGTGGGGGTAGGTATTTCTCCTACGATCTAAAAATATTTTTTCCTGCTTTTTGAAGGAAATGACTCATTTAAAAGAAGTCTTTATCAATAACAGAAGGATCTACAGCTGTGTGGCCTCTGGGAGTTTTCCCATCTTCAGGTATTAAATGAGGGAGGTGGAGGGCATGGAGCCTGGCACAGAGTTGTTGCAACATTCCGCTGGCCCCTAAGCATTCCCCATCAGCCACATAGGCGGGCGTAGAGAATGCGGCTCCCTCTCAGGAGTCTGGAGATGAGGTCTAGCTTAGTACTCAGGCATGTGGCTCTAGCATTTACCAGGATTTGTGATCTTGGGCAAGTACTGAATTCTGGAGCTCTTTCACTTCCTCATCTGTAAAATGGGGGGAATAATGGTATTTCTCTCATAGAGTTGTTATGAGGATTAAATAAAACAATCCATGTAAATATTACTTATTTTGATCTGCAAAGAGATTAGCTGCTGCATAGGGTGGAGATGGGGTGGGTGAAGTACCTCCTTTTATGCAATAGCCCTGCAAGGTTTGGACAGAGAGGAGGACCCAAGAATGTGATGGGGGATGGGAACAAGCAACCCTACTCCTCTGTTCTAGAGGAAAATATCCCCAGCTTTCCAAAATTTAAGTTTGCTGTCCCCCTCCCCTCCCATGCTGTGGCCCTCAGCTATTTCCTCCAGGGCTCATGCCTCTCCATCACTTGGTGGGCATGG